TCAGGATAGCGATCGAAAAATTTTCTTCTCTGAAATTGTCTCCTTTCACCTCTTTTCCTGTTCTCTAGCAATGTTCTGTCGTCTGCTTTCCTTTCTTCTTTCTGCCCCCACTCCCTCACCTCCTTTGCCACCTCCTTTTGACTCCTGGCTCTTTCTACAGCCTTTTCACTGCTCCTTGGCTGTTTCTTACTGCTGTCTTTCAGATACACCCCTGATCTTCTGGTAGGAAAGATCTACACCTAGCCTTCTCAGATAAGTGTGAAAAATCTCGGACGGCCTGTGTGCTAGTTGCGCACGTTAAAGATCCCTTGGTGGTCTAAAATCGACAAGAGTAGGCTTCAGCCGCCACCAGAGCAAAATTCAAAATTCCCTACATAGTGAAAATATTAGGTGTGTCCCGCGCACTCATATTATAACTTTATGCAGTTGCAAGGGCTGTAAAACACTTACCAAAAAAAAATCCGTTGTCGGCCATTTCTCCGTTAATTTTACCGTTGAAATTATGCTACTCCCACCCCCCTCAGAGACAAATATCTCGACTTCTATTCAAGATAAATAGGGATTTTTTCATGAAATCCAAGGCAAATGAATAAGATTTCAGATGATGATAATAACTCCAAATGCCCCAAAAGTTGACGAGAGCCTGATTCCATCGCGTCGTGACACATTTAGCTGTGGCAACAGCTCGTGTTTACGTCAAGAAGGGTCTGTCTGTAAAGCAAGCTGTTCTGCCTGCATGCATTCCTCCTTCACAAGAGTGGGCAGGCTACTCAAGGCAACTCCAAGCGAGCCGCTTAGCTTCGGAACGAGAATGTGAATCTTTCCCCCACGGCTGTGAGAGGAGAGGAGTCTCATTGGTCGAGGGAGTGAAGCAGAAATCTATCCCGTTATTGCCGCCTTTATTTTCCTCCATAATGAAAGACTTGGGGATTTTATGGGGATGATAAAATAAACAGGACTGTTTCTGTAGTGGTATAAATAAATTCGGTGGAGGATTAATTATCCACACCCTCCGGGCGCTTTTGGGGACAGGACATTGTTTATAGTAGTGGTCGCTAAACCTCACAAATTTGTGAGTCGCCTGTGGATTTGTGACATTCGTGTTGAATGTCTGCACGAAACAAACGTTCTAAAAAAGGCGGATATAATGTTAAGTGACCACAGCCAACTACTGACAAAGAAATTTCAATCACTGACCCGGAACAAACGATACATTTCCAAAAAAGCAAGAACGTAATGCAGATAAAGAAATTCATTTGTACCAACTGCAGTGAGGTTACTGAACACTCAGTGCTACAAATGAAACACACTCACACACACACACACACATACACACACACACACACAGAGAGAGAGAGAG